GATGGGGTTTGAAAAATATTCCTTAAAAAATCCACGTTTATTGACCGGATGGGGTTTGAAAAATATTCTTTAAAAAATCCACGTTTTTTGACCGGATGGTCTTTGAAAAATATTCTTTAAAAAATCCACGTTTATTGACCGGATAGTCTTTGAAAAATATTCTTTAAAAAATCCACGTTTTTTGACCGGATGGTCTTTGAAAAATATTCTTTAAAAAAATCCACGTTTATTGACCGGATAGTCTTTGAAAAATATTCTTTTAAAAAAAATCCACGTTTATTGACCGGATGATCTTTGAAATATATTCTTTAAAAAATCCACGTTTATTGCCGGATGGTCTTTGAAAAATATTCTTCAAAAAATCCACGTTTATTGACCGGATGGTCCTTGAAAAATATTCTTTAAGAAATCCACGTTTATTGACCGGATGGTCCTTGAAAAATATTCTTTAAAAAATCCACGTTTATTGTTGGGATGGTCCTTGAAAAATATTCTTTAAAAAAACTCATTTATAAGTCTGTGGATCTCTTAAAAATCCACGTTTATGGCCCACATTTGTCTGCCATCCTCATACAACAATGGATCATTATTTACTTACTGCAGCCTTTTGAAGGACAGTTGACTTTTCAATTGCTTGCCTTTTCCGCTTATTACGAATAATTTGTTTATATTTACGATTACACCCATAAATTTCTGGTAATTGGGATATTTCATATTATTCACAATTTGTTCAATTTAATAAAAATATTGTTACGTTATTAATTCATTTTGCATTACATTATATCTCTTATAACCCAGAAAATAAGAAGAAGCACTTAGCTGTTAAGTCAGACATTTGACAAAAGTGTAGCATACTTTTAGGCCGTTGAACTAAACAAGTAATCGAATCACTAATCGACTTATCGATAGTTGAATTCAGGTAGAAAAATAATTCAGTGTGAAAACAATAACAAAAACAAAGAGGGTAACAAAGGGAAGGAATAACATAATTGAAATCCTCTTGCTTGGACATTGAAGTGAAGCTGCTATTGAAGTTATCAGACCAAAAACACATTAAAGAGCTCAGCTGCCGCTGAAACGCAGAAAATGGTGACGTCAAAAGGTGGGTGTAAATCGAATCGAATTTCAAAAAAACTACCTTAAAAATGCAAATCCTTTTTCTTCCTAGCAGAAATCTGTCAAATTGGAAGGCCACATATAATGGATTTAAATGATGACTGCCTGGGCATGATTGTCAGGCGTCTGAATGTAATGCAACAATATCAAATATCCAAATTACACACACGCTTCAAACAAATTGTGAAATCCCAATGGCGTTGCAAATTAAATCATGTCGTCGTATATCCTGAGCTTTTGGAGAACATTGATGAGGCGACATTTGTGGGGTTTATGCAAGAAGTCGGCCCCCATATGCAGAGTTTGCTAATGCGTCATTGTGATATTAGATATTTACGCTTGCTATCGGATCAAATTTTCAATCGCGTAGAAACATTTGGCTGGATGGGTGAAGGAGGTAGTGGTGGTGGCGGAGAAGCTGGCGACAGCGGTGGAGAAGAATTGTCGGAATTTCAAGGTGATCGTGAAAAACAATTTCTTGATGAGGATCTCAATCTCCTAACCAGAGTGTTTCCCAAATTGCAAGTCCTAAAGCTGAGAGGTTGCCAAATTACGGGCAAATATTTGGCACAGTTCTCATCCTTGAAACATCTCTCCTTGGACGATTGTCAATGCCTAGAGTCGGACAACTTCCAGGAGGTGTTTCAAGAACTAAAACTACGGAAATTTGATATTATGGAAGACTGTGATGAAATAAACTGTTGTGATCTAATTGAGCTGAAAAAGTGCCCCACCCTGGAACACATTAAAATTGCCGATTATCATTTGTGTTTCGACACCGATATTATCAATGATATTTTACGCATGCCCAATCTCAAGAAGTTGTCCATATATTCCAAGAACTTTGTCTTCGATGTCCTTGAGAGAATATCACGTACGAATCTAAAACAAATCGTAGCCTTTAAATTCAATGGAGTATTGCATAATTTTGAACGTTTCTTTCGTGAACTGAATCACATGAGACATTTGAAAAAGTTATCCTTTTACGAATGTCGCGGCTATGACATTGAGGGTATACGTGATCATATGCTCGTCCAGATAAGTAAGCAGTTTGCAGATTTAGAGGAAATCCATTTATGTTCGTGTGATTTGGAAAGTGATCGTGGCGTCTTGAGTTTTGTCCAGAATTGCCATAAATTGAAGTTAATCAATTTGACCAGTTGCCGCAAGGGAATCAGTGAATCGGTTATATGGCGCTGCATGGAACTGATGAAGAAGCAGAAATGGCGTACCCACCATTTGGAAATGTGGCTCAAGGATGCATATATCGATAAGGCTATACTGGAGGTAGGTAGATGGGGGGCTTTTTCAAATTTCTCTACCAACATCACAGAATTGCTGACTATCAAGTGTTACTAAATTTGACTTTCCTGGAACATTTTTCGATTTCGAGATGTTTCCTAATTTTAAAAAAACTATTCTAGGACCAAGAAACTTTAGTTTTTCTTAGGATATTACTTTGAGGGACTAAAAACGGTGACAATACTTTACAACACAAAAAATAATTCCAGGAAAAATCCAGCAGATTCTTAAAGTATAGTTAAAAAAGAAGACATGTATAGGGTGAGATAAAAACCTGAAACGAAGTAAAACGCCATAATTTTTACATTTTTTTTAATTTTATTGAAAAAAATATCGGCAATTGCGTTAAATTTTAGAACAAGTTTAGATTTGTTCGAATTGGTCACTTTTGGCTCGAATTATGGCCTTCACACGGCAAATGAAACCGTCACACGCTGACCGAATGTTGTTTTGCGGTATTTTGCCCCTTTCCTGGCGAAGCGCTTGCTTAAGGTGATGGACACTGCGGTATTGTTTAGTGCCAACCTTGCTTTCCAAAATATCCAATTGGTATCCGGAGATTTTGGTGGCCATTGTGCGCTGGAAATGAAGCGAGGAACCTCATTTTGTAATAATTTTTGGGCAGCGCGGGCTGTGTGCGATTGTGATGAGTCCTGTTGGAATCTACAAGGTCTGCGGCCAAAATGTTTGCGTGCCCAAGGCTTTAATACACCCTCCAGAAAATATTCGCTATAATATTCGACATTTATTCTGATGCCACGGTCGATTAATATGAGCGGCGAGCGACCATCGGCTGTTTTGGCGGCCGACACACCATCACTATGGCCGGCGCTTGAGTTCTGGTGGCCAACCGAAGGTGCACATTTTCAGCTGTCCTCTTTGGCAAGTAAACACGATCATTTTGTTTGTTTACAAACTGCTGGACAACAAATGTTTTCTCATCGGAGAAAACCAAATTCGGCAGTTCACAACTTTCGGCCAACCGAAGCAACTCTTTAGCTCTTTTGTGTCTATTTTCTTTCCGATGCGGTGTAAGCTCTTGCACTTTTTGGAATTTCAAAGGCTTTACCCCAAATTTGGTATTGGTTTATTTCGAGATAGAGATACTACAGCTTAAGACAGAAAACCATCTGTGCAGGTCCCCGTTTTCGTATAGCCCCCATATAACGGTACCTCCCTATATTCGGTATTTTCATGATTTTAGCTACATTATTCACCGGCATTGTTTCAAATTTGGTATTTGAAGTTCGTAATGGGAACTACAGTCTGTGACAGAAAATTGTCTATGCAGGGCCAGGTCTTCGTACAGGTCCCATATATCAGTACCTCCCTTTATTCGGTATTTTGATGATTTTTGCGAAATTATTTACCGGAATTGTTTCAAATTTGGTATTTGAAGTTCCAAAGTTATAGTACAGCCTAAGACAGAAAATTTACTGTGCAGGTCCACGTCTTCGTATATTCACCATATAACGGTACCTCCCTATATTCGGTATTTTGAGGAGTTTAGGTACAAACCCCACCGAAATTGTTTAAGATGTCGTATTTGAAGTTCGTAATGGATGCTACAGCCTGTAAAAGAAAATTGTCTATGCAGTTCCAGGTCTTTGTATAGGCCTCATATATCAGTACCTCCCTATAATCGGTATTTTGACGAGTTTAGGTACATAACCCAACGAAATTGTTTGAGATGTCGTATTTGAAGTTCGTAATGGATGCTACAGCCTATGACAGAAAATTGTCTATGCTGGTACAGGTCTTCGCATAGCTCCTATATAACGGTACCTCCCTATATACGATATTTTGATGATTTTAGCTACGGTTTATTTCAAGTTTCGAATTTGAAAATGGTAATGGCTTATGACAAACAATGCCTATGTAGGTCCACGTCGTATAGACCCCAATATAACGGCAATATTTGGTATTTTTAAAATTTTAACAGAATTTTTTAGGGAAATTCGAGTAAAAAGGAAAGGATGGAAAAGCTGCATCAGAGAACTTAAAAACAGAAGAGTTAAAATCCAATTCAAATCCCTGATGATGACTATCGAAGATAGTCGAAATATCGGACAAATAAATTAATATATAAAAAAACAAATTCGTCTGTTTTTTAAATTCTGACCTCGAGCCAAACGAAAAACCAGAAGAAAATGGATTTTATTTTTTTAAAATTTTCAAATTTGTTCCAAATGGTGGAGGGTATTCAAAGATCGGCTCGGCCGAACTTACTGCTTTTTAACTTGTTTTTTGATCGGATTTTAAATTATTTCTTTTCCATTTAATTTCAGGATCCCCGTTACATGTACAACAATCGTTTCCTCAAACTGGACTTTAAACAATCTCTGCAAGACTCGAATCCTCCGGGAGTATTAAAATTTACCTTTTCAACCTAGTAGATAATATTTATTTAATAATAATACCCAGCATACATACATAGAAATATATGAACACCATGAACTACATACATATGTACATAATAAATACCAAAAAATAATGATTAACACAATAAGACAAATCTATCGAAAATAAAATCTAAATTTAATTACAATTAAATAAATAAAGAATGCCCAATTAAATGGAAACAAAAAATTGACATCCAACAATGGTTTCATTTTTTGGCTGGCTGGCTCGCTGGCTATGCCTTAAAGAATTTTCAATTCCAAACGTTTTAAATTACCGCCTCCAATGGCGAAAATATCACGACAATAGCGCACATGATAACCTTTCAATTCCAATTCTTGAATGTTGGGAAAACAATTTTGCAGTACCCGCAGCGCTTCGAGACCATAACGCAGCGTCTGATTACGATGCAGCTGAAACGGATCGATACACTTGAGAATGGTGACTTTTGGGAATCGCAGCGAAATTAATTGTTCAAAGCGTGGCTTCCTCAAATAATGCAGCGATAAGTCGACTGTGTGTTGGCTTATGATCTGCATGAATTCCATAAAATCGCTATCGCTTAGCACGGCGACCTGTTGATCTTCCACCTGGACTGTGTGCAAACAGGTCGTCGACCACAAATGCTCAACAATGAATTGGAAACGTGAATGCAGTTTCCACATAATGTACTGTTCCACAGTGTTCAGTTGCCGGCAAATCAATTCCAGGCAATCATCGTTGAGCAGGAGCAGGGAAGCTAATGCAAAGAAAAAAATGGTGATTAATTTAAAAATAATAAATCTGCGGGCGATGCTGTGGATGTCTGGCGTGAAAAAATAAACCTTGTGCTTTTGTTGTTGTTGCTGCTGCTGATGTTATGTCCTCATTTGATGTCGCTGAAGATGACATTCCGCGGTCGCTGGCGCCTTTCTGTTGGGTTTGTCTTTTCTCTTTTGCTTGAATTGGTTTCTTTCTTGATAAGAAGTTAGCAGCTAACGCTGTTTTTGTTTTGTTCGGCTAATTCGCATCCTCCCCAAGTGTTGCAGTGAAGTTGAGTTGTGTGTCCTCATTTGTTTTTATTGCTTGTCTCTTGTGTCAAACGGATGTGGCAGAGATGGTTTGGTTTGGTGGTGAAGCGCAAAATGGCAACGCGCTTTTTTTGTTGTTAGGCAAAAGGAATTGTAGAAAAAACGAAAAAAATAGTTCGGAGTTTAAAGACATTTGCGATTTTTATGTCCTTTAGTGTAAGAAAAGGATTTTTGGCCGAAGTCCCAGTGTAAAATGCTGAAATCGCTATGGATCTAAAATCGTTCCTGGACTATTTTTCACAGACTTTTATATTGATCCGAAGAAGATTGACATTAAAGAAAATTGTCAAGGTTGAAAGAGGTACATATTGGAATGTCTTCCATATTTTGGGTAAGGTTCTAGTTATATTTTCCAAAAATAAGTGATTGTAATTGGGTCATTTTGGTTCACATGGTGGAAAATATCATCTTTCAAAATATTGAATATCATAGCTTCCATTTAACCTCCTCCACGATTTTCTGTGACTAGGGATAGGTTTATGTAACGGCTATACAAAAACGTGGACCGATACTCATAATTTTTTGTTAGCAGCATTTCTACATAATACGAATTCGAAGTAGCACAATTTGGCAAAATTTAAAAAAAAATATGACTCAAACGTGAAAAACGCCTTACATCGGAGATTGCCCGTTTATAGGTAGCGGTCTCCAAAATGATAAATTTCTAGATATTTTTTTTTTTTGAGCTGAAATATTGAAAATCTCATATTATATGTAATGCATAAGCATTACATATACTCACAACAATTACTACTTTAGTCTTAAAACATTTAATGTAATTTTATAATCAAAGTTACCTTTGCCATTTCTTACTTAACGTCAATGAATATTGAAAATAAATGAATTCATTCTGTTGTACACACTTATTGGAAATATACGTTCTTATTTAACATGGTGTCAGGTGTACGTAAATTCTGAAAAAAATATCTTTTAAATAAAAACAAGTAAAAAAACATTAAGTTCGGCCGGCCAAACTTCTAATACCCTCCACCCTAGGGTAAAAGAACATTAGAAGAAATGTGGCAAAAAACATTAAAATGCCGAATATCGGGAGGTACCGTTATATGGGGGCCACACCAAAACGTGGACCTATAATTACAATGTTTCGCCACACGAACTAGGACCCATTATGACCCACAAATACCAACTTTTACACAAATCAGTGAAAAAATGTGGCATAAATCATCAAAATGCCGAATATCGGGAGGTACCGTTATATGGGGACTATACCAGAACGTGGACCTATACATGCAATGTTTTGCCACACGCTCAGGGACCCGTCATGACCTACAAATACCAATTTTCAGATAAATCCGTGAAAAAGTGTGGCATAAATCATCAAAATACCGGGACTATGCCAGAACGTGGACCGATATATCTCATTTTCAATACCAACCATCCTAGGGACAATACACACACTTGTGCCAAATTTCAAAGGTCTACGTCAAATAATGTGGGCTCTATCGTGATTTCAACAGACAGACGGACAGACAGACAGACAGACGGACATCGCTAAATCGATGATTATGCTGATTATGAATATATATACTTTATGGGGTCTACGACGAATATTTAGAGGTGTTACAAACGGAATGACAAAGTTAATATACCCTCCTACCCATGGTGGAGGGTATAAAAACAAAAGAATGGAGGAAAAGAATTCAAAGAACCAAACGTTTGCTGCCGCTTTATTAACGATGGATTTTAAAGCTTCAAATCTTGCAAAGGAGTGGAAGACATGGCTCAAAAAATTTAAAATATTTCTAAGAGCATCAAATCTTGAATCAGAGACTGATAAACGAAAAGTGGCATTGCTGTTACATCATCTTGGAAGTAAGTCGTTGGAGATCTTTAATTCTTTTGACGTGGATATTGATACCGTAAAGTATGAGGATCTAGTGCGAATGTTGGGGTCACATTTTACTCCAAAGGCAAATATTGTAATGGAGAGGCACAGATTCTTCACATGTAAACAACAAGATAGTCAAACAATGGATGAATATGCAACAATCCTGAAAAACATGAGTTTGAACTGCGAATTTGGAAATTTAAAAAATGATTTGGTTCGCGACATCTTTATATGTGGATTATCGCATAAGTTCTACAATATTAAAGAACGGCTTCTGACAGAGAACAAAATTAGTCTAGAAAAATCGATTGAAATAGCCAACAATATGGTGTTGGCCAAAGCAAATGTAACGACACTGCAAGAAGATGGATTAATGGAAGGTGCTGTTAATGTCATGAGAAAGACGAATTCAGGAGGAATTTACAGCTACAAACCGAAAAATGTCAAAAGTGAAAACGGATATTGTCAAAAATGCGGCCAGAATCATAAATACAAGTGCCCAGCTGAAGGGGCAAAATGTTACAAATGCAACAAATTGAATCATTTCGCGCGAATGTGCATGAACAAAAAAAAAATTGTCAAGCACATGCAGGCAGATGACGGAGAAGATGACGAAGGTGAAGATAATCAACGAGATTTTGATTTTTTTGTTGGAGTTTTAAACCAAAGAGGCAAACCATCGGCTGAATGGAACGTTGAGGTAATGTTGAACAATAAAAAGATACAATGTCAAATAGATACAGGTGCACAGGCGAATATAATGTCGGCAGACATGGCTGGAATGCTGAAAATCAAAGATAACCTGAAGAAAAGTGCTACTAGAATATGTACGTTTAGTGGAGAAAGAATACCAATCCTTGGAGTAGTTGATGTTAAGTTTTATTATAAAGAACAGGTATTTTATTCTAAATTTTATGTAGTCAATATATCCTGCAAGTGTATTATTGGTTTAGAGACCGCTACAGATATGGACTTGATTAGACAAGTTAATAATATTTCTATCACAAATAAATTAGTTGAAAAATATTCAGATGTTTTTCAAGGCCTTGGTCTTTTGCAAAAGGAATGCATTCTAAAACTAAGGGGTGGTATTGAGCCGGTGGTTGAACCACCTCGTAGAATTCCATTCAAAATGTATAAAAGTTTACAAGAGGAATTAGATCGTATGGTTAAAATGCGGGTAATAGCCCCAGTGAGTGAGCCAACGGAATGGGTGAGTTCAATAGTTCTAGTAAGCAAACCAAATGGCTCTATAAGACTTTGTTTGGACCCAAGACATTTAAATAAAGCAATATTGAGACCACATCATCCATTTCCCAATATAGAGGAATGTAAAGCAAAACTTAGTGGAGCAAAATTTTTTACAGCACTAGATGCCAAAATTGGTTTCTGGATGGTGCCATTAGACGACAAATCTTCTAAGCTTTGTGCATTTAATACACCTTTTGGACGTTATCGTTTCCTAGGATTGCTTTCGGGATTAATGCGGCCCCCGAAATATTTCATGCCGAAATGGTGAGACTATTTGGTGACATTCCTGGGTTGGTAATATATATTGACGATTTTTTAATATATTCATCAAATGTAGAAGAACATTTTAGAACTTTAGAGATGGTGTTAGAAAGAGCTAGGAAAGTGGGACTTAGATTTAATGAGTCAAAATGCAAGTTTTTGCAACATAAAATAAAGTTTTTGGGTCATAGTTTTGATAATTCAGGTGTCCGAGCCGATGACGAAAAGATTAGAGCAATAGTTAGTATGCCAAGGCCAGAAAATGTTAAAGATTTGCAGAGATTTTTGGGTATGGTTAATTACTTAGGTTCCTTTATAGAAAATCTTTCGTTGAAGAACAAGCATCTTAGGGAACTTTTACGAAATGACGTCTTATGGCATTGGTCAGATCATCATGAAAAAGAGTTTAACGATTTAAAAAACGAGATTACGAAAGCGCCGGTCCTTACTTATTTCAATCCCAATAAAGATTTAGTGCTATCGGTGGATGCTTCGAAATCGGCATTAGGCGCCACAATTATGCAGGAAGGAAGCATCTTTAACTGAGTGCCAACAAAATTATGCACAAATTGAAAAAGAGTTGTTCGCTATTTTATTTGGCTGTACAAAGTTTTATCAGTACTTTTATGGGAATAAGGTAATGGTAGAAACAGATCATAAGCCATTAGTGACATTATTTGATAAACCACTATTTAAAATTCCGCCAAGACTTCAACGTTTTATGCTTCGTTTACAATGTTATAATCTCGTAGTTAGGTATAAACCAGGAAGGGAATTGCAAATAGCGGATACACTATCAAGGGCTCCTCTAACAGATGTGGCAATGGCAGAAATTGATGAGGAAATATCACTTCACTGCAATTTTATATATTCTTCTCTAGAGAGTTCATTCGCAGATGTGGAAGCAGTGAAGGAAGAAAGTAAAAAGGACGAAACATTTTCAAAATTATTCAAATATGTTAAGGAAGGATGGCCTAATAGTAGAAAAAATTTGGACCAAGATGTTATGCCGTATTTTAAGATAAGGGATGAACTAACAATTCTAAACGATATTTTATTAAAAGACAATCAGGTTGTGATACCAAAGAATATGCGACGAAAGGTGTTGCAGGGGGTTCATGAAGGACATATGGGGGTATCAAGGTGTCAAAGTCTAGCGCGTCAGACCGTATATTGGCCAAACATGAATAGTGAAATTGAAAATCTTGTATCTAATTGTGAGGTGTGTTTGAAATACAAAAAATCGAATACTAGACCAGAGATTTTGCCACACGAAATTGTAGATATCCCATGGTATAAAGTGGGATGCGATCTTCTTGAATACAAAAACAGAATGTATATACTTGTTGTCGATTATTATTCAAAGTATATAGAAGTCGAATATCTTAATAATGGCTATAATAGTAAGAACGTGATTACTAAGTTAAAATCCTTATTTGCACGACATGGAATTCCTAACATCTTTGTGTCAGACAATGGTCCGCCTTTTAGTTCAAAGGAATTTAAAGTTTTTTGTCGCGAGTGGGAAATTGAACATGTCACATCAAGTCCATTTTTACCAAGATCTAATGGCTTAGCAGAACGGTCTGTGCAGACAGTCAAGAAAATGTTATTAAAATCGTCCGAGAGTAATTCTGATCCTTAT